TCTAAATAATGAAACCTTAAATTTACTAATGATGATAGGGTTAGATGATGTAGATTTATTGGAATTTGATTTTAGCCGTGCTTTGGAAATTTGGAATTCACAATGTAAACGAAGAATTTAAATTTTAATAAACTTGTTTGATTCGTAAATCATAACGATAATTTTAATTTTATCTATAATTTATGATGATCCGATAAATTTATTTGAAACCGGATATTTTTCCGTTTGATTTTAAAAAAATCCGGTAAATTTTTATGTAACCGGATACTTATCCGAGAAACTTGATATCCTATTTTACGCTCTGATTACATCCATTAATTTATGCTTGTGTCATAATCTAATCCTCTAATAACGCAAGAGTTAAAGAAAGACCTTTTCTAGACAAAATTTATAAATGCATAGAAACAACCTACGCAAAAAAAAATTGTTAACACTCGGTTTATACAACAACCTAAACAAAATATATTGACCACGTGATGGATAGATAAGGTCTAATTTGATTCGTTGGACCGAGATCGGTCATATGATCGGTCATATGATCGGGTCGCGATCGTTTAACATTCTTATTTACAATTTTTGTTGACAATAATTCTCTGTGGTCTTGAATATCAGCAATTCAATAATAAATATATTCTTTTTTTGATCTGGTGTAAGAAACGCAATATTCTAAAACGTTTTTTTTATTATTTTGTTGCAATGGATGAAAGGAAAAAAAAGCTTGAAAAATTGGTAGCTAAACGTAGAGTAACTGACGAATCTAACGAAGGAGATAATAACGAGTTGAGTTATTTTTTATTCGTGTTTTTATTTTTAATAGCGAAAAAGATCCGCGTTACGTAATGTGAACTATTTTAAATTAATAAGTTTCAATATTTTTAAATATTTCAAGTAAAAAGAATAAACCAAAGTCAACATCTAATGCGGCAGCGCCTGCGAAAGCTTCAAAGTCAAAAGGTTCTCCCACTGCAAAACCTAAGCAACCTTCACCTTCCGCAGAAAAATCTAAAGGGGTTAGACTAACACGTCAAGATCAATATGAAGAAGATGGTTTCATCGTGGAAGAAGAAGAAGGTAATTATTATAAATGGGCAAATAAGTTTATGGCATCACTTAATCAATTTAATTTTATTATTTGTACGTGATAAACGAATAATATAACTTTATAATAAGGATAGGCTGACTAATTGAGAATTTTTTTGAATAAAATAGTGGAAGAAGAATCAGAAACTGACAGTGCTTCGGTGTCTGAAGAGATTAGTGTATCAGATGAATCCGAATCTGATTCTGATGATGACAAAAAGAAAAAGAAGAAAGGAGACAAACAAAAACATAGCAAAACTAAAGTATAAAAAAAATTATTAATTTCAATAGATTCTTAATGTGTGCAATTGAAAATCATGATTAACTTTTGTTTTTATTATATTTGTTAGCAAAAGAAGAGGACAACAAAAAGAAAAAAGGATGAGGATAGTGACGATGATGATGATTCCAAAGATGATTCAAAGAGAAGATCACATAAGAAAAATAAACGAGAATCAGATTCAGAAGATTTTGAATTATCAGATGAAGATCTTGCAGAGATTGATAAAAGTTCAATCATAAAGGAACGAAGGACAAGAGGAATAAAGTTTGATTTTACAGGAATGGTAAAAATATTACGAAATTATTATTTAAATACCGTTCGAATAAACGTAAATTAAATTTTATTTTCGTTATTATTTTAGGATCCTTCCGATGAGCAATGATTATCGTGATATAAAAGTGGCTTTTTTTACTCAAATTCTCTTTTTTTTGAATCTAAATTCGAAAAGCTATTTTTAGATAGATGAGTATTGTCTTTACGTTAAAGGAAAGTTCAATTATAAATACTGTATAGCAAGCTTAAGGTAACGAAGGAATAGCGTTTTTTGAAACAACAAAATAAATACAAAAAAAAATTAAATAAGATTAACTAACTAGCACAGTCTTATTCTTAAATTTAATGCACATTTTTATGTAAATCTGTAATTAAATTGGCTTAAAGATTCTATTCTATATTAATAAACACATCAAAATAATTACTTGACCGTAAAGGCTACAGTCCGTCTTACACTAAAGAGGCTAATCGTTGATTCTCGTCATTATTCGTGTTAATGAACAAGATTATTTATCTTATGTTTCAAACAACTTTCAATAGAAAAGAAGTCATATTGTATAAATTACGGGACGCGTTTCGAATAACAAATACACTTACCGGATATACCCAGAATCACCCACATACTTGATCAAAATTTCATCAGAAAATACTCCTCATAATATTTTTTTATGATCAAGTTATTCACTGCATATGAATGATTTACCTCTTTGTTTAAATAGGCAGATCTTAAATTGGTTATCGAATATCCACTATTAAAAAAATGTCGGGTCAAGACAAACCATCAAATTCTTCTACAACTTCATTAACTTCCAGTACCGCAAATACACTAACATCGGCTTTTAATTCTACAACTTCGGCGTTTACTTCAACGATTTCTTCATTATCAAGTGTTTTACCTACTTCCACTTTCACCTCTTCTCAACAAAATACACAACAGCAAACTCAACAACGACAAGAGTCACCTTCCTCGTCAACAAGAGCTCGTAGAACAACAATACCCTCTGCCCATTCAGAAATAAGACGACAATCTTCGTTTGCTAGTGATAGTAGCGGAAATAAACCTTCACATAATGTTAATAAATTAACTGAAGAAATGTTTAGCAAAGTTGGTGAATATTTAAAAGGAGAAATTTTAGGTATTTGTATATATATTGTTTTTTTGTTGATCGTAAAATTTCGATTATTTATATTAAATTGATAATAAAAAATATATAGCTACGACAGAAGATTATAAATTATTAGAAACAATGAATAAAGTTACGAGAGATAGATATAAGGAAATGTCTGGAATGGCACAAAATTTAGTAGTGGAAATGTCTAAATTACAAAGGATTTGTAAGTTATAGGAAATAAACTATTACAAGTTGATTAAAAATTTACTTTTTTAACATTTGGTCATTATAGATTCAGATTTTGAACCTTACGTTCAACAAATTGATGAAATTTGTGAACAAGTGGATTTTTTGGAAAAGGTTACTATAGAATTAGATGAATATTCCAAAGAATTAGGTAAGTCCTGATTTTATTGAAATTTACATTGAAAGAAGTATGCTTAAATAATTTATAATTTTCCTTTAGAATCACGTTTAAAAAAATTAAAATGATTATGATTACAGAAAAGTGCTTTGAGTTAGAATATTAGAAAGACTTTTATTATATATATATTTTTTTTATTGTATTCGTATGTTAGCAACTTAGTAAGTTTTATAAAATAATTTTATATAATCATTTGTTTTAAAGCAATGCACCTTCATATATTATTGAATTGTAATTAAAATTATTCACCAAATTCCCCAGAAAGATTCTAATTCACAGCAAAATTTAGAACATGCAACTGCTGCTGAAAGAGGATATTGAGAAATTCCAATCTTCTCATCTATCCAATTGTCAGCGAAATCATCATTACCGTGAGCCATAGCCCCGACGACAATACAAATTGAATGATCAGAGGGTAAGGTTGGCAAATATTGGGAAAGACGAACAGGTTGAGCATCATATGAAAGTGCTATTCGAATCAAAATAAATATATATATATATATTATTATTATTAAAAATGCTTAACGAAATTTTTTTTTTTTTTTTCAAAACTAAACGTTTTGATAAATTTTAAATTTGACCAAGGACTTGCTTTTTTAAATAAAATAAAATAAATAAATAACGTACTTAATTTAACACAATTTGTGGGAAGATAATTTGTTATAGGATTTTTTATCACTCGTAATAATTTTTCGTTTCCATCCGCTGAACGAATACATAATTTATGAAGAAGTTGTACTTTTGAAGAAGGAAAAAAAAATTAGATGTTTTAATTTTAAATTAATAATTCAATATTTAAATCAAATTTACCCATCAATCCAGAAAAACGTTTGAACGTTCTTGGTATTCTAACATGAGGACTGACTTCAATTAATACACCATTAACTGTGTGAATATAAATTTGCATTAATCCAGCTTTATTTAAAGGACTATCCAATAAAGCCATTAAACACTAAAAAATAAAATAATATTCAAAAAATTAGATGATGGAGTAATTTGAATGATTTACGTCAATTTCTTTCTTACTTGATGTGTTATATCTGGTCTACAAATCTCGCTTCCTAATTTTCTTAAAGTTGCTTGATGGTCATCACCATTTGCTAATTGGTACTGTGATGGTTTAGAATTAGAAACTTTAAAGGTTTTTAAATCTGCTTTATCCAATACGACGATTAATCTACGTGTCGACTCTTTTTCTTCAAGAGTTTTTGGAAGCTTTGGAACTTGTGGAACAAAATAAACATCGGTATTCACATGTAAATTATTTGCATAATTATCATTCTTTATCTCGACTTGTGTAGTTGATATAATATCATCAGTTTGAGTAGATACTGAAATATTATTAACTCCTTCGTTATTGGAAGCTTTCTTTCTTGTAACTCGTGTTATCTGTTTTGAATTTTCTTCGTCTGAACTGCTGGTATAATAAGCAAAATTATTATCAGCTGTTCTCTCTTCCTGGTTGGTCTCTTTAGCTTCTTCTTTTTCTTTCTTAAGCCTTTTCAAGGCTCGTTGTTTGGTTCGTGCCATTTTTATCTAAGAAAAAAAAATCGATTAAAAATTAAGTATATGTCGGTTGACGCGCCCCTATACTATCACGTGAATTTTACACGTGATTTTAAATATCAGACTATAATAAATCGAAAATTTTTTTAATCAAACGTTCCTCCTTTTTCTCTCCGCTCTTGTCATCAATAACGATGGTGAGTTTTTGATCAATCCATTGTATTTATAGTGGAATACTATAAATGATGTTAATTTATCTTTAAGGATTTTAATTATTTTTTTTTAAATAAAAAGAATTCGCAAGTATCAATATCTTATTTTAAAAGAAAAACAAAAAAGTTTAATTGTGTATAAGAAAAATAACTTTATTGAATAATCCAATCAATTTTATTGAAAGAATTAATTAATAATTAATTAGATTTATTTTGATAATTTTTAATACTAATATATGAATACTTTGATTTAAATTTGTCAGTTTGCGGCTGTAAGACCCCAAATCAATATTTACTCCGAGTCAGGAGATAATTGTATCGGCACTCATGTACTTCCAGCTGTTTTTAAAGCTCCAATTCGTCCTGATATTGTGAGAGTTGTTCATATGAACATCTCAAAGAGCAATCGTCAGCCTTATTCAGTTTCATCAAAAGCTGGACATCAAACATCAGCTGAATCCTGGGGTACCGGTCGTGCTGTTGCTCGTATTCCTCGTGTGTCTGGGGGTGGTACTCACCGTGCTGGACAGGTGATATAATATGATCGATTTAATGAATAATTATTATTAGCAATTAAAATCGAATTGAATTAAAATTTAATATAATTTAATTTTAATTAATTTTTTTTTCATACACACACATCAAATATTAGGGTGCTTTTGGTAATATGTGCCGAGGTGGTCGTATGTTCGCACCAACCAAAATTTGGCGTAAATGGCATGTAAAAACTAATTTGAATCAAAAAAGATTTGCTATAGCATCAGCTTTAGCAGCATCATCAATTCCATCACTTGTAATGGCAAGAGGTCATCGTGTCGAAGACATTCAAGAAGTACCACTTGTAATTGGTAATGGCATTGAATCTTTAGCCAAAACCAAAGCAGCCGTAACACTTCTTAAAACCGTTCGTGCTTATAGAGATGTAGTAAAAGTCTCAAATTCTCGTAAATTAAGAGCTGGCAAAGGTAAAATGCGTAATCGTAGACATCGTCAACGAAGAGGTCCACTTATTGTTTTTAACGAAGATCATGGTGTCGTTAAAGCTTTTCGTAATATCCCTGGCGTTGAATTGGTTAACGTTAGAAGATTAAATTTATTACAATTGGCACCGGGTGGTCACATTGGTAGATTTGTTATTTGGTCTCAAGGGGCTTTTGCTTTATTGGATGATTTGTTTGGAACTTACAAAAGATCCGCTACTCTCAAAAAAGATTATCAGTATGTATTATCATTTATCATTATATATATATATATATTTATAAAAAAAAGTAACCAAATATCACAAATATTAACACGATTTTAAATTATCACAGCCTTCCATCACACATTATTACCAATCCAGATGTTACCGGTCTTATCAATTCCAATGAAATTCAATCTGTACTTCGACCTGCTGGTGAAAAACATCAAAAACGTCCATATACTCAGAAGAAAAATCCTTTACGCAATAATGGTATTAAGATTCGTCTTAACCCTTATGCTAAGGTATTGCAAAGGGCTGAAATCATTGCAGCTGAACAACGTAAAGCTGGTAAAATCAAAAAGAAGAAGCCTCAATACAAAGCATCTACTAAGGTTTCGGAAAAGTAAGTATATATTTAATATAATTTTCGATTTCGTAGTTAACCATTATTAATAATTCTCACTTTTTATTTTATTTTAAAAAAAAATAGATACGTTAAAATTTTGTTGGATAATAATTATTAATAATTGAGGATATATAATAATGATGCAATTATAAAATGTTTTTCGAATTATATTATAAAATAACGTGTATATGTATGTATATATATATATGCTATTAAAAATTTTTTTATTAAAGATTGTGATTATTGAGAAAAAAAAATAATATATTTATCATTAATGTTATTCATTTAAATTAATCATCTCAAGAATTAATTTCACGTGTATTAAATTAAATTGAATTCTTCGAATTCGTAAGAAAACACTATAAAATGCTATATCAATTAATTTTGTTAAGGCTTACCGTTAGACAATCTGACATTGCTCACTACTAAAACTTATGAAATTAAAAGAATGTCATCAAAAACTATTTTAACCAAAACGTGTAGTTATAGCATTATGCTTAAAGATACCTCCTTAAACTATTTTTAAAAAAGATTCTAAATTTTTAAGCTACACATTAAAATAGAATCATTAGTTATGCTTATGAAAAAAAGTGGTTAAAAATTGCATATAAAATTGTATTTCCTAATTTCTAAAAATCAGAGATAATATTTATTATTAAAAATAATATAACTATTATCTTTAATAATATATATCATTTTAACATCTTTTATTATTAAAAAACAATGTATTTATTTTTTAATAATATAATATCATTTTGTATTTTAGAAATATTATTTATTATTTAAAATCTATAATTTAGATTTATTAGGTTCAAATCAGATTTATTTAAATTTGGTAGATTTATTAGGTAAAATCTGATCTGATCTGATCTAGAGCCCATGGATTCATGTATTTGCATAATTTCACATTTATGCATTATAATTTTGAAGCAATTTCATTATTTTTTGTATTTTTCACATGATCTTATATTGTATTTACTATTTAAAAAATAGATCATCTGCATTTTTATTATACAAAATGATTATGGCATCAGTAATTATCAAAGGATCAAATTTTCTTTTTGAGAAGAATGATTTGGATTTAAATAATATTGGCAAGAAAAAAAAGAATTCTTCCAAAATAGCTTTAATTTATATATGGTTACCTATTTTAGGAATTGATATTAAACACAGTTTTTCTAATTATAAAAGAATTTTGGATAATAAATATTGAATTCTTTATATTATAATAATCAATAAAATTGAAATTTTATCTTTTTTACTATATAATTTTAATTTTGCATCACATAAACCCGTAGGCTCTAATCTGATCTAATCTATATAAAATACTAATTATAAGTAATAATTAATATAACCTATATATCAGAAAAAAAAAACATATTATGATTATTTTAATAAATCGATTAATTATTTTCAATTAAAATAAGCTTTAACTTTATATTATTCAATTAATATTTGATAATTATATATAAAAAGCATTTGAAATAATATTAATAATATTGATTTTTAAGAAAACTAAATATATACAACATTCTTTATTTAGATATAGGCACCATTGGGGGTTCTGGTGCAGATTGCCAAATAGACCTCCAAACCCCGCCTACGAATCAAATTTGCTATATGATTTCCA